TCATCCTTGAAGGCCAATACTCCTCTTTATTTCTAGTAACTTCTGGGGTACCGCAAGGTTTTATCATTGGTCCTGTTTCTTATCTACATTAATGATCTTCCAGACATCCTCATATCTAAAGTATCTCTTTTTGCTGGTGACTCGACTTTATACTCCTGTCTTGACAAAAAGTCTTCTCTTTTTGATTGCTTAGAACAGGAAGCTGATCTGATCTTACTTCTGTAACAGATTGCAGGCTTGGCCAGGAAGACGTGCGATTTCACATCATAATATGACCACACAAATACTATTTAATTTTAAAAACTTGACCACGGCTATTAATATGTTTTGAAAATTTGTATACATAAACAAATATGTAACGTAAACAAAAGAAAAAATAATTAAATCGTTTATTTAAAAAGATGATTTAATTTTTTTATTATTTAAAGACGTGTTCAAAATAAAAAATACATGCTGATATAAATATAAATAATATATATATTATTTTTATAAAAAAAAATTATAAACAGTGATTTGTTACTTTATTTAAATACGTTTCAATGATATAAAAAACATAAGTAAAAATCAAAGTTATTTTATTTAAACAGCTTTTAAAAAAAAGTTAGTCTCTTTTTTCTTCTTAACAAAATCTTTCTACTTTTTGAGTAAATTAACTTTAACGATTCTTATATAAAGTTTATTAAAGAGATCGCTGTTTAAAGTCGTTGCTTATCAGAATTTAGATTTTTTTCTTATTACTTTTTTTTATTTTACTTATAAAAAAATCTTATATAATTAATATTAAAATAAAATGAATTAAAATTTGCAACATTAAAATACAACTTTAAATGATACTTTTAATTTAAATCATTAGTTACTTTTTTTAAAAGCGTTTTGCTAATATAAAAATGCATCAATGTTATTTATTTTCAACATAATTAAATACCAATTTTTTAGTGCAATTGTGCAAAAAGTGCAAAACCATGGTTAAAGCCTTCCTAGCCAAGCCTAAGATTGGGGCTCACAGTGGCTAGTAAGTTTTAACTGCAACAAAGCTTAGTTATTTACTGCAAACAACTATCAAAATACTGTCAACATTCCTATATTAATGAATGGCAACCCTCTCACTGAGTTCTCTTCTGTACCTCTTATACTCTTCCTAACGATTACGTTTACTACTTTCATGGGAAAGTTGATCTTTTATGGGAACCATATATACAATCGATTGCTAAATTAGCGTCTGCTATGGTTGCTTCTCTTTATCTTGGTTGCCATAACAATGAAAAAAAAGATTGTTGCCCCATTCCAAACCCTTAGTCGATGTAGCAGCTTTGCAACAACAGGTTATAAGAAATTTGGTATATGTACTGAAGCAACTTCCTGTTTTTGTATGATGTCATCAGTGTGCGTCTAATGCTGCATTTATATAGGTATATATCAGGCCTTGTTATAAAGTTATTTTTATTCGCTTTTCATATTTATCATCGTTAACTATTTTTAAACTACTGTAATATAATAAATCATCACAAAACTAGTTTAATTGAATTAACTCAAAAAAATATAGAAATGTTATTATGTAATAATGTTATTGAATGTTTACTTAGATTTCAGTTTTTTAAAGTATAAAAATATTTGTTTATTTTCTCAACATTTGACAAAATCAAATGTTGAGAAAATAAACAAATATTTAACTATTATTATTTAACTAAATGAATAAAATGATTTTTTTAATTTCTTGAAAAGTTATGCAAATATTAGGAGTTTTGCAAATATTAGGAGTTTTGCAAATCACCAATTATTTTTTATTTAAAAAAATCCAGGGATAGTTCAATATTTTACTAGCAATTATTTGTAAAATTATTTTTTTACAAAAACAATTGTGTTATTTAAACAACTTTAATGTACACCTTGTACATATTTTTAATGGTTACAAAAAATTTCATTTCTAGCAAAATAAAAGTGGAATAATAAGTCTTATAGGTTTAAAGATTGAACTCTGAGAAAAAAGTAAAATTATTATTATTTATTAATGTTTAGTGTGGCTAATTATTATTATTTATTAATGTTTATTAGTGTGGCTATTATTATATATTGCTTATTGAGCAATATATAATAATAGCCACACTAAAATTTAAAATCAATCAGGTTAAACCTAAACATTACATGGTTAAATATGAGAAATACATTTTGTATATAGCTGTATAGAAATATATACAAATATATATAAATTTTAAGTGTGCATACTTTTAATAAACACTTTGTCTGTTAAGTTATAAAATCAACACATGCTTTTTGGATTATTTTGCTTAAATTAACTTTTCATTTATTATTATTATTTTTTTTTACATTTCTTTCATTTACATTGTATTAAAACAATAGACAAGTTTTTCTTCTGTAGCTGAATATTTTATTTATTTTGATTAAAAAAGTGTAATTTTTATAAAAATTCAAATAATAATTTAATTCAAACAGAAAATCAAACAATACATAAGTTGGTTTTTAATTTTGTAGCTGAATATTTTGGTTATTTGGATAGTTTTATAAAAGTTCAAACTTCATTTTTTTTTACATTATCTGATTTATTATATTTGTAAATAATAAGCATATTTTATGTATTTGCAATTTAAATTTTTGTCACAACAGTGTGCAGTCTTTAAAATGTTAACTACTTTGTTAAAATTTGGTTAAAATAAAAAATTAACTACTTCATTAAAATTTAAAAATATTTTTAAATATTAAAAAAATTTTTAGTTTAATGTAAACAGCAAATGTAAAATTGACCTTTGCGTATGTAAAATGTTCTTTGCCTGGCACTTTATAACAATGCCTGATAACATAGCCTGTTGCTGCTAGGAGTGTTGCTAAATAGACTGAGGGTTTGATTAGGGTCAGGATCAAGGTATGGCTTACCGGTAAGGCAAGCTTTAAATATGGCTGTATTACTGTAATTAATTATTTTTGTAAATAGATAAATAAAAAAATACACAATATAATATATAATAATATATAATAATTGTATGTATATATATATATATATATATATATATATATATATATATATATATATATATATATATATATATATATATATATATATATATATATATCAATCCTCGGAATTAGGGTCAGCATTCGGCAATGCCATCCTAACTGCTGACCTTAAAGTGTTTGAGGTCAGCATAAATTGCCGACCTCGTTTCTATGTTTTACGGTCAGACCTTTGTATCAAATAATTTTTGCCGACCTGATGCCGACTATAAAAAGATTGAGTTTGGCAAATTATTGTTGACCTCATTTTTCCTAATTCCGAGGGTTGATTTAAAAATTTTTTTAATAAATATTATTTTAAGGTTTCCAACTGACCCTTGAATATTTTACAGATCCCTGATCATGTTATCTATGTTAGATTATGTTAACTCACCACCCTAAGGCTGAGAAGGCCACTACAGACAAGTATGCTACTTAATTGTGGTTATAACCCTCACTCAACTCTATAACTTTAAAACACAAACCGAGTGCTGTACTACCAAGGACGTGGTTGGGATTGAACTCGGAACCTCTCGCTTATGAAGCGAACGCTCTACCACTACAATACTACTGCATCCAATTCCGTGATGTATCGTAATAGGGATGTACTAGAATTCTAGCCGTAAATTGTGACTTTTAGGTCAATTTTATTACAATATTTCAGGCCGGAATGCCAGAATTTTTTTGGCCTTTTCTTTTACGACATGTGACACAGACTGTAAATTAAATCAAAAAATTGTTATCTTACAGTGTAATGAATTAGGTAAACCAAGATAAAATATACAAAATTCTTAACAAATACAATGTAATTTTATTTATAATTATGTAAGGGATCGTCCATAAAGTACGTACGCTTGGAGAGGAAGAGGAGGTCTGCAAATGGCGTTTCTGAGATAAGGGGCAGTAGGTCAATTATAAAATTATGAAGACACTAAATTTAAAAAAATATCATAAAATGTTGGGTTAGTAGGTTAAAAGCGTAGGTACTTTTGGAGAGGTAGAGAGTACTCAAAAAAGCGTACGACAAATTGTGGGGGATGGGTTACGATAAAAAAGCGTACGTACTTTATGGATGACTCCTAATCAATTACGTAAGGATTTCTAGAAATTTAGGAATATTTTGGTGAAAAAAGAGTTGTTATCCAGTTTTGGGCCACAAACTAGCTCTTTTTTCATCAAATATATTACCTGCTTCTGAGAATAGTCTCATTTTGAATATTACTTAAATTTGAAATAATTAAAAAGTATAGGAAGCCTAATATGGTAACTATTTTAATTTTAACCTAAATTGAAGAATAGAAAACAGAAATAATTTTAAATACAAATATTATTCAGGTTAAAACATTTAATAAATAAAATTATAACAAACAAATAAAAACAACATATTAGATTTAAATGAAACAAAGATTAAATTAATGAAATAGGTTACATATTATTGGTTATAAATATATATTATACACGATGCTGAAGTCCAGGTTTTCACTTTCAATCTTGAAGGCAAAAAATTGCATAAATATAACTCTCATTTCAGCCAAAATTTTATTAAAAATTCTGGCAAACCCGGAAATTCAAAATTTCTAATCAGGTACACCCCTACTTTTTTACCTCTAATTAATTTTATTAACGATTCCGGAAAATTCCAGCCAGAATTCAAAATTTCTAATCCCGTACTTTTGAAGTAGTTTTTTTCATAAAATATTAAGGACCCTTAATATTTTTTGAATAAATAAATATTAAAGAAACAGTCCCAACTGTTTCTAAAAATATTTATTCAAAATTGTTTTAAAAATCCAGAGTTATTTTATTACGAAGAAGAAACCTAAGGGTGTAACAGGAGAAATTAAAAAAAAAGTAATTTTCACCATACCCTAATGTGTGAGTTTATATATATATATATATATATATATATATATATATATATATATATAATATATATATATATATATATATATATATATATATATATATATGTTCAATGTTTTTTTCATTTACAGTTATTTGGAACATATGAAGTTTTGGATTTCAGTATACGCATTTTATTGTCTGCCTCTCATAGTATTTCTCATACTAACATTAGTAATACAACTATATACCCTGAATCTGGAACAAATAATCGAAACTCCACTATGTTAATTAAAGCTTTACCAAAGTTTTATTTTGCTGGCATTGTTGTTGGCTGCTTAGATGTTTTTATTTCATTTTTCCTGTTATATGTTGCAGCACGAAGGAAATATAAGCTTCATATTGTTGTTTTTATTGCTGCTGTCTGGTGCACTGCAATGGGTTTCTTAAGTTTAATTTCATTTGCATTATCAGTTACTGGGCAAGTTTATATGGATATTGCCATTTTTTTGATTACTGCTGTTGTAGAATTTTATTTTGCATATGTTATTTTTTCTTATCACAAGTTGATATGTATGGTTCTTGAAAGGGGTCTTCATGACACAAATATGACATATTTTCCAGAAGACCATTTAAATTTTACAACTGATCAAACAAATAAACCTGTTGACGAGCAACCAATAATGGATGACCAAGATGATTTGCAAATGGAAGATACTGGTAGAGCTATTGCATCATAATTTTTTATTTATTTTTAGTGCTTATCTAACTTTGTTTTTGTCATATTTTTGTTTATTTCAATAACATTCTATGTCATTGTTTAAAACAAATGTTTGTGATATAAGTATGCAATATAAATTAGGCCACAGTATTGTTAATGTAATTTGATATTCGTTTAAAAATCTTTAATTTGTTTTAAGTTATATTAGAGCAAAAAATAATTTTTTTATTTTGATTATCACTAAGTAATAAAATTTGTTGCCTAATGATTGAAATGTGTAAAAATAAAAATAAAAATCAATTTTTTTGTAATGTTAATACTTCATTAATTCCTAATGTAATTTTTTTTTTACTTTTATTTATTTTTATAATTTTTTACTTTAAGTATCTAAAAAATATTAACCTTAGTTCTGTCATTTATTTTAGAGAACTTAAAAAAATAGTATACATACATACTTAAGTGAGTATATATATATATATATATATATATATATATATATATATATATATATATATATATATATATATATATATATATATATATATATATATATATATATATATATATATATATATATATATATATATATATATTAATAATAATTTTAAATATATATATTAGCAAATAATTTTAAATAAAATTTTCCGTATTTTTTTTATTTTTGCTTATTTTTTTATGTTTTGAAGAGCTTGATAATACTTAAATGATTTATTGTAAGAAATTTAATTGAAAAAAGTTTCTTTTTTATTATACATATATGATGCAGATAAATATATACAAGTATATGTCATTAAAAATTAATTTTTAATGTTTTATAGTTTATATTGACTCAAATTATTTATAGTTTTATATGTTATTATTTTATTTGTAATTTTATATTGATTATAGTTAATTATATTTCTTCATGCTTATTTTCATAACAACTTGTTAAAAACTTTCTGAAATAAAAAGTTGAACTATAGCATCTGAATAGTTTTCAGAGTTTTTTTCTTGTTTTTTCCAGAGATTTTTTTTTTTTGGTTTAATAAAAAAAATGACATTTTTATGATTTCTTTTACTCAAGATGTTTAGTGCTAATATGAATTATTTTCAATATAATTATGGAAGATCACTACAATGAGGGGGTTACTACAATTGAATATTTTAAATTAAAAACGAGTATTCTATTCATTTTTTATTTCGGTTTTTTTTTTTTTTTTCTAAAAATCCTATAATTTAAAAATTATGAGAGAAGTTGTTGTACTTTTTGTTACACAAAGTTACACAAGTTAAGTGTTGTACTTTTTGTTACACAAAGTTACACAAGTTAAGTGTTGTACTTTTTGTTCCACAATGTTTCACAAGTTAAGTGTTGTACTTTTTGTTCCACAATGTTTCACAAGTTAAGTGTTGTACTTTTTGTTATACAATGTTTCACAAGTTAAGTGTTGTACTTTTTGTTTTTACATATTCATCTCCCTCTCTGTCCCTTAAAATAGCTACATTTATTTACATGTTGTTGCAATCGCTATAACACCATTATTATTAAATCTTTTGCCAGGGATAGTTTTAGGAATGAAAACAAATTTGTATAGAATGTATAGAAAGCAAATCACAAGTTTTACTAAGTTATTTGTTTCAAACCCTAAAAATAAACAACTGGATATTTTATAGAACTTTAGTAAATAACTTTTGTGTAATTAACATTCTATATTATTTTAGTAAAAATGCCTCGAAATTAAAAAAGTAACATATTGAATAACCTTATTTAATCAATATGATTAGAGGACAGAACAAAGTACTGCAAGCATTTCTTGGTACTTTAATGACATGGGGATTGACAGCAGCGGGATCTTCTTTAGTTTTTTTTTTTGGAACTCGAAATTTTAAAGGAAAAGTAAGTAGATTTATCATTAAATCAAGTTAGAATAAAATCTAGTATCACTTTTGAAATAATTTTTTGTTTTTTAGAGAAAAATTCTTGATGGTAGCTTGGGTTTTGCAGCAGGAGTAAGCTTTTAAATTGATAAATTATGAATGGCTTATTGTACACACACACACACACACACACACACACACACACACACACACACACACACACACACACACACACACTAGGATGTTTCATATTTTATCAATTTTTGAAATCGAACTTGCGAATCGATTTATAAATTGACCATTTGTATGAAAATAAGTTTGAGCAAAAAAAATTAGGGTCCCTGCCAGTTCAATTTTAGGCCAAAAATGATTGGTGTTTTAAACGCCTGGCAGGGACCTTGAAATTTATCGAAATTTTTTTTTTTAATCTTTTAAATGTTATATGTTGGATTGAATATTAATAACATAAATGGAGCATGTTGAAAAAATTAAGAAATTAGTCTACAGAATCTTCTGAAATTGGTGAAAAATCCAAATTTTCCTTTTTAAAAAATCTATTTTATCACTCAATCGCGTATAAAAAATATTTTTGATTTTCTAATAAACTGTTTCCAGACGCGGAAAAATCAATAACCTAGATTTTTTTAATAATAGTGTCAAATGAGGTATATATATGTCTAAAAAAAAATTTCTTTTATCCTTTGAGGTAACCTAACCCTTACGCTAACCTTAATAGCCTAATAACAATTGTTTATTTTAGTTATTTTTATAATAAAAAAGACTTAATGAACTTACTGCAACATGGTTAATGGTAAAAGTGGTATTGTTGTTATTAGTTTTATTACCTCAAGATTAGAAAGTATATGGTAGCTTTTCAACTTTAAATGATTTTTTTGGTATTGTTGCAAAGTTTTTTTTGGTTTTGTAAAAAATCAAAAAAAAAAAGAATGATATGTTTAAGTATAATTAAATAAAAAATACATATTTACAAATCATTATTACATCATTAAATAAAAGCCATCATTTAAAAACTATATTATCTATTTTGCAATTGCTTGATATGCTAATGGCAAATCTTCTTTAGTCTTTGCCTTGTTAAGGTTTTCTCTCCTTTGGTGAATAGCTAGCAGTAACTCCTGTCGATCATCTTCATTGTGAACGTTATTTACAAAGTCTGATACAACTTTGATAGATCTTTCAGAAACGTCGTTAACCACTACAAGGTTGGAAACAAACTGGGAAAAAATCTTAAACTGTTCAATATACTCCCATAGTGGTGCCGGGCTGTTTAACCAAAGTTTATCATTTAGCTTAGTAAGGTTTAACAAACTAAATATGAACCAAGAGTTTTCTCCCACTAGTTGGGCAATACTTGGTGGTTTTTCTAGGTTAAAGTTAAGAGTTTTTAACAAATTTAATTTCTCAGAATGCCGAAAAAATTCAGGAACTGGTTTCGAAAAGAGCATTTTTGCAACATCTTCTCTCTCTGCAACAGAAATACCTTGGTCTAGAAGAGCCAGCGGAATTAAAGTTTCATCAAGGTACCATAAATGTGATTCCATTGAAACCATTGTGGCATCAATTCCATTTTAAATTGTTTCAGAATTCTGAACATATTGTTCCACGTAACCTCTATATTTTGTCATTTGCAATAGGCTTTTATATCTTGGTAAGGCGCAGCGTAAGGTAAAGACGTTTTAAAAACCAGACGGTATAAAAGATTAAAATAAACTCAGCCGTAGACTGCACTTCGTTCTTTTGATTATCTGTCAATTCATAAGAAAGTTGCAAACTCAATATCTGAATCTTGAGATAATAAATAGCTTTGGACATAAAACGTGCATGAGACACGCACCCTGGAGCTTGAATTTGAAAATCTCTTTCAGGGCATAAGTACATTAGAGTCAGTTTCAATAACTCCTTGTAGTCTCCTCTGGGAAAAGTGTTTTTTTTTAGAGCAATCTTGCAATATTTTACAGCATCGAGTCTATGGATTTCTAAGAAAGTGGTAGCAATAGATTGGGTATCATATTTTACAAACTTTGAAGAGTCAATGCTACTTTTAATGTCATTCCTGTTTAATTCGAACCGTTTAAACATTAGGTTTTCTGGAGATTTAGTTTTTCCACTGCACTGTCTTTCACAGAAGTTTTTTAGATGTAACTCATAAACATGCCTCCTGCAAGCCAGCTCTAGTAGAATTGAGTTTTGTTTATGACTAAACCTGACATTTGTACCAGAAAGTCTTCCTGTATTTGTAGCAGTTGTATCAAAACATAAACCTTTCACGTCATCACATATTCCATACTCATCCAGTATTTTAACTAAAGCATTGTATTGAGCTTGTCCAGTACCACGATCAATTGCTAGAATGCCAAGGAGCTTCATTTTACCAACAATATTTACCGAGACCGCAAATCGATCTCTTTTTGATTTTATACCTTCTGTGATGTCTTCGATAATTTTTCCCGAATAAATTTTTTTTGAGCTCGCCAAATAGTTGAATGAGACACTGAAAAATCAGCCACATTTCTGCCTGAACTTACGATTAAATCCGTACATACATGCACTAGATCTCTTGATGAAATATTTTTTGAGACTGATGTCATGGCAATATCTTTAACAAAACCTTTCCTTAACTTTTGTTTTGCATTACTTGGGCCGGTTTGCGATAAATCAAAAGAAATATCTGATTCTGTACTCACGTCACTGATATCTGAGAGAAGCTCTAGATCTGTAGTTGATTCGTCTATTTGGGGTAACTGTTTAATATTACAACTTTTTAAAGGCTTCTTATCTTTATTTACCGTTTCATATCTCATGTCTTTGCTCCCCAAAGTCATTAGACGGCTGGACTTTTGGTCTTTTAAAAATTTGATATCAACATAGTATGAAAGTTTATCAAGGCTCGTTTTTTTTAAGATTTCCCTAATATTATCTTTACCAATCCAAAATACCTGCTCCCCCTTCTTTTTGAATTCTTCCCTAGATTTCTCTACTGCTTTAGAGTCCTTATTCTTATGTCTTCCAACTATCGATTAAACGAGTAATATTATTCCTGAAAAAATTACGATAATACATTAAATAAAATAGAAATATTAACTTTAAGATGCACCTTATATTTTGTATTATTAAGCAATAATCCACACGTAATAACAACTAAAAAAAATTAGTTGTAGTGGTACTGCAAAAAAACCTTAATCATCTACTAGCTTATTAAGTTCAAATGATTATACAAATTTATAATAACTATTTTATTATAAATTGAAATTATAAAACTTACCTTATAGATTTATCTGTTAATAATCCATCTTTATAACCTCCGTCTAACCATGGTTTTTTTACTGCAAAAAGAATACATTTGTCAGGGCAATTGACAAGTCCGGAGCACTTTGCGAATTTATCGGGCCCATCAGTACAACCAATAAACTTTTTGGATGGAGTTAACTTGTTACTAGATCTTTTAAACTGAAAGTTAAGAATTAATTCTTTATTTGTTGCAAAAGTTATCTGAGTTAAGTTTTCTATCAGGCTTTCTTCTTCAAATAAATAAGCTCTAGCTTTTAGTCTCATAATTTTAGCCATTTTGAATATTATTTAAAAAAGTGTTAGAGCACTTATTATTAGTAACGCAAATTTAGTTTAAATACTTTGTCTTCGCATTGGAAAGTAGTTGTTAAATTTTAAATTATTTTTTAAGTACCTTGGTATATGCATTTTCTAAAAATATTTTCCGATCAAATTTCTGGATTTTAAATTTATTGCGCTCTAATGTTTATTAAGTAGGGGCCATTAAGGTTAGTGTCCTGGGCATGTTACTCCATGGATCCAATTATAATTTTTTTTAGACTTAATTTAACACTATTAAAAAAACTATTCAAATTATAGTTTTTTCCGTGTTTGGAAACAGTTTATTAGGAAAAAAAAAGTTTTTTATACCCCACCGAGTAATAAAATAGGTTTATTAGGATTGTGAAAGAAAATTTGGATTTTTCACCAATTTTAAAATATTCAGTAGACTAATTTCTTAATTTTTTTGACATGCTCCTTTTATGTGATAAACATTCAATCCAACATATAACATTTAAAAAAAAAAAAAAAAATTTAGAAAAAAAATTTTTTTTTTTTTTTTTGCTCAAACTTATTTTTATACAAATAGTCAATTTATAAATCAATTCGCGAGTTCGATTTTAAAAATTGATAAAATATGTAACACCCTAACACACACACACACACACACACACACACACACACACGCACACACTTTATTATTATTTAAAAAAATAGAAAATTTGCTCTAAGTTTAGAATTTTATGAATGAAATGAGGTGGGCAGAATATATTAGTAACATGTTAACCTAAATATGAAGTTATTCTCTCACAACAAATTTTATTGTTTCTCAATATTTAATAAGTAAAAATCATAAGGGCAATGGCAAAGTATAAAAAAATTAAAATTAAAGGAAAAGTTGATTGTTAAAAATCAGTCATATAATTTCTTCGGGATTTTTATGATTTTTTTATCAACATACTCTAAACCATTAATGTTAAATGTGTTTGATAATTATCAAATATAGATCAATAATATAGCTAATAATTGGTGATATTGTAAATCATTGTTTCTCACTAGTAAAAAGAGCCTTTAAGATGCTGAAGAAAAAGAACAGTAGATGGGGTTGATTTCTATTACAGTAAACATGCAGAAGCTGGAATAACATAATTAAGTATGGCTAATTATAAAAATATAATCCTAAATCTATAAAGGATGTTCCCTTTAAGGGAAAATCTTTTTAAGATTTAAAGATCTTGAGTAGGGTGCTAACACAATAGTAGAAAATTTAGTTCCAGTATTTGATTTACATATGTTATTTGGTATAAATGCAATTTTCAAAACTTTGGTTTTGAAACATGATGTAACTCAAGTTATGTAGTTTTTAGAGGTTAACATGATGAGTAATGTGCATAACAGGAGTCATTCCAATAATGAAATATTTGAGAAATTTTAGGCAATTATTCGCCTAAAATTTCTTTTAGCTTTTTTTTTGGTATAAAATTAAATTAGATTATTGCTGGGGAGTTTAAGATGTTTGGTACAAAGCTATTGGAGTATCTTGCTGCATTTTGTTAAGTATGTTGAAGTATGTAGATAACTATTATCAAAAATGTAATGCTTTTAAAAAACGTAAATTTTTCATATTGAAATTACCCATATACTTATTCTTACCCATATACTATTCTTAAAAAGTAGCAACGGATATTGGACTTAAAATTTACTCAGAACAAACAGGTTAATTAATTCATTCATAATGGAAAATGTATATTTTCATTACAACTAAACAAATTTGGTGCTGCATTGCAAAAATTGTGTTGTATCAGCAAAAATTATATTGCATAGCAAAAATTTTGTGTTGCGTTGCAAAAAATTTGTGTTGCATTGCAAAAAATTTGCGTTGCATTGGGCAATCAGTTTATAAGTAGCTTATAATAGTAACTTATAGCAGGGCTTTTGCTTAAGCTTTTCTAGTTGAGGACAATCTTCAGTAACAGCTGTAACAGTAAAGCAACTCCCATTATACAATACCATGTACTACATTGAAAGCATTATTATTTTTTGAAGTCACTGTATTGGCTTTTGAGTAGCAGAATGCTAAATGCTTTTAATCATATCAAAAAGCATTGATACTTTTTGATATGATTAAAATAGAGGGCTGATTTATTAGGTATTTCTTGATGAAGATATGTGACAAACACACACCTACACACATACAAGAAAAATTTGTATAATCATTAGTTGTTGATCACTTAGGGATTTTTACTAAATGTTTACATAACCTAGGAATGGTTCAAAAACAAGAAAATTGGATGCTGAACAAGATCAAACCAAAAAATTTAAATGTCATTTTTTATGTACAAATTTTAAAATGGCACAAATAGAAGTATTCTTTATTATGTACTGTATACTGTATTTCATAACTTTATTATTGTATAGTAACTGATGATAAAAAGTGGATTCCATTACAATAACCCAAAGTTTAAAAAAGTTATGTTATATAGACAATTATGTTATTTAGACAAGCCTGAACAATCATTAGCATCAAAAGCAAAGCAAAGTAAAAGCAGATCCCAGCTTATGTTCTGTATTTGGTGGAACCAACTGAGTGTGTGGGACCAACTGAGTGTAGGTCCCACCAAAATGTGTACTATGAGTTGTTCCAATCTACTAAATCAATTATAGGAGCTTGCTACATAATGGAGTTGTTGTAATTAAGTTCTGAAGGAAAAATGAATGAAATATGTTAAAAGACACAACAAAGTTATTTTAAAGGACTACAATGCTTGGTCTTATATTGCCCAGTTTGTAAAAACTTGCTTGAAAACACTCAATATTGAAATCCTTTGTATAGTATGTTGCTTTGTCAAACTACCATCTTTTTAAATCAATATGGAATCACTTTACTTCATAAGACCAATACAAAAAATGGGTTGATTTCTAGATTGTTTTGATAACTACCTTACCTAAGGCAAGTACTTTTAGTTGTTGTGGAATTTGTATTTTGTCAGAATGAAACAGGAAAAAGTGGTTAGCAACAGACTAAGCTTTTAGTTTTATGAAAAAGCACCACTACTCTAATACACCTTTAATAACAAGAACAAAATATAATTTACAAATAAAGTCAAAATTTTTATTTAGTATTAGAGCAGATCAGTTTATTAAATTGTTGACAAATTACAGATTAAATAGTTAAGAGATTATTGTTTTTAATTTAAATAAATAATAATAATAACAGTTATATGCTTACAGTACACTAATTGAGTGCTCTATTGTATTCAAACTGCAGTAACTTCAATTTATTTTCAACTGATATAGGTTATGACTGCTGCGTCATATTGGTCACTCCTAGCACCTGCAATTGAGATGGCAGTTAAATCAGGATATTATGGTTCTGAAGGCCAGTATGCATTTGGACCAGTTGCTTTGGGTTTCCTTCTTGGTGGTGTATTTGTTTTGCTGTCTGACATGTGTTTGCCACATTTTGTATGTCAAATTGTTTTCTAAAATCATTTTTCTTTAACTTTTTATTTAGTTTATTTAATTTATATTTTTATATAATTTTTTTTTAGTATAAGTTTTTCAGTTTTAAGATTTTATTTTTATTGGTTTTAAGAGTTTATTTTTATTAAAAAAGTTTAAAAACTATTGAAATGTTTTTATGATAAAACTCTCTATGATCCAAACCCCTATGATTCAACTTCATATGATTCATCTCCCTATAACCCCTTCCTCTCAATGCTTCATCTGTAATTAATGCTTCCTCTTAATGCTTCAGCTGTATTTTTTTCTTAGAGTAAAAAAGATCCAGCTATTGCACTTGCCATTCACTCTCGTAATAATGAAAGTGAGGTTTCAGACCAAAATTTTTCTTCTGCGTCAGCAGTCGACATCAATGACAGTGTTGACAAAGAAAAAACAATTTCTGATATAGATAATAATCAACCTTCATCAGAGAGTATTATAGAAAATTCAGATAATGACCAAAATCTTGTTTTAAAAGATTCTGTTAAATTACGGTTTAGAAATATCAAAGATTCCAAATCACAACATCAACCACAGGTAATTTTTTTATTTAAATTGATTGGGTCTGTAATATTAAGGTTACTGATCTGCTAGTCTATTTAATTTGATTTGGTTTATAATATTAAGGTTACTAATCTGCTAGTCCATTTAATTTGATTGGGTCTATAATATTAAATTACTGATTTGCTAGTCCATTGGTCTGTGAGATAATGATTAATAATATGATAAATTTAGATTACAAATCAATGGAATTAAAAAAAAAAAAAAAGATTTGATCTGTTAGGTTATGATTGAGGAATAACTATATCTGAAAAAGGAATAGTTAATAAATATTTCTAATAAGTTTTTATAAGATTACTGGTCTGTTAAATCAAGAACTATCTGGTAAGTTTTGCAGGCTTATTAGATAAAGATTTTAAAAGAATCAATTCCTAAATAAATGCTTTTAGTTTTGATTATTTTTTTAGGTTGTTCTTGAATATAAAATTGAAAGAAAAAATAAACTTGATGAAGAGCGGGAAAAAGCAGAAGCAAAATTTAAAAGTTGGACACGAATTTTGCTATTGTGCATCGCCATCACTATTCACAACATTCCAGGTTTTTAAATTATTCAAATGTTTCAGATTGTTTTAATGCAACATAATATGTGTGTTTGCTTTGTTAATAAGAAATAAAAATTAATAATAATGTTATTAAAATATAAAAATTAGTTAATAATAAAATAAAAAAAGTACTGTTTAGTTAATGGTTAATTTTATTGTTTAATGGTACAATATTTTCTTAAGTATTTTCTGTCATATTCAGACTTCTGTTTTCCTAATAATCGGAAATAAATACTATAAACAATAAATAAAGTTAAGATCAAATGTAAAATGTATTTCAGAGGGATTGGCAGTTGGAGTGGCATTTGGAGCTATTGGTACTTCTGATTCTGCTACATTTGATTCTGCAAGGTATTTATATTAAAAAATTAGTTATATTTGGTATAGCTTTTCATAAAATTTTTCATAAAATTCTTAAAAGCACTCACACAAAAATCCACAAAACATACCCCTGGCCAAGAGAGTAACATAAGATTTTGCAAAAAAGGTAACACATAGAAATACATTTAAATGACATTAAAAATTAAATACATTTAAAATTTAAATGAAAACAAATACTTTAATTACACTTCAATCTGTTTCAATGTAAATCAATATTTTTATTACACTTCAATTTGTGGTGCATAAAGCCATTCAAATAAAAATTTGATGAGACTTGATATAAATTATTGTTTGATATTTTATTTGTTTTTTTGTAGAATTCTTTTGAATATATTTAATTATAAAAATATTTAATTACTAAAAAAAAAAAATTTTAATTCTACATATTTGTTTCAAAGGCATCTTGAATGAATTTTTTTTACTAAATTATTTTTTTAAATTTTTTTTTTTATGGATACATTCAAAACAACTATATTGTTTAATTATTAATTAGGAATATTTCAAGACCACTAGACAGTCTCATCAATAGACTATAAAACTGAACTTTAGTGTTATAGTCTGATGATCAGAACATCTAGTGGTCTCGAAATATTACTAATTAATAAATAAATAATATAGAAGTTTTTAATGTCTCCATAATACCAAGTAATTTAAAATGCAGGTTTAATAAACATTTATTTTTTTTAAATATTATTTAAAAATACTTATATCTTAATATATTAATAGTATCAATTATTATCAACATAATAATAAAAGCAAATAACATTTCTAAAGCATATATAGTACAAATTTTTGTAGAATTTCTGTACTATAACCTTACTATAGTAGGAAGTTAGATAACAATTTGGTTGGTAATAAGTTATTTTTGAATTCACCATTTTTGAATAGTCATTAGATATTCCAATGTGTCACTATTCCTGAAGAAGTCTTTGCTATAACTGTTTTTAGTTAATAGCTTTTTGTTTACTTATTCTTTTTTGTGATTCTTCTCTAATACTTTATAATGGACCACTGAAACCTCTGATACTTGATTATGGACCATTTAAATAAAAAAAAGCTAAATCTGTTGATTTCAAGAATTTCTATTCGTAATATAATTAAATGATTTGTACTTGAGATCTGGTACAAGTTTTATGGTTCTTCATTAAACTTTTTAATTGTTTTTTAATTTCATTTTTTGTGTGAGATTACACATTCTAATTCGAGTCTGACATATGTTATGTATAGTTGAGTAAAAAAGTCAGTGAAACAATATTTAAATTTGCTCTTCAATGTGATTAGTTTAGAATAAACTTTATTAGTTATTATTGTGATGCGGTCTTTATTTTGATTGGTTATCATTGTGATGTGGTCTTCATTGTGATTGGTTATCATTTTGATGACCATTTTCCATTTCGTTTCTTATGATGATACCTAAGTTCTACTTGTGCATTATAACATTTTAATTGATGATTGTTCTATCATGGGTAGTTATATCATGGGTAGGGAAGCTTAATTTACTTGATCAATTAATTTTTTTGATTTACTGCTGTAAACTTTAACATTTTTATTTAATTTCATGTCCCAATTTTTTTGTCCAACAAACTAGTTGATTTAAAGTTTTATGACCTGTAGTTTTTGACCTGTAGTTTTTGACCTGTATAGTTTTTGATTATGGAAGTAATTAAAGCCATCTGAAAACAGCTTGCAGTTACTATGAACTTAATTCAGATGAGACTTTGCCTTGTGCAAACTTAATACTGAAAGTCATTCAGATACTTCATTATCAAGTACAACTTTTTGTTGTCTGCTTGAGAGACAATTAAGTTTTGAGGTTTTTTGTCAAAAAATGTCAAATTTTTTATTTTAGCAATTAGTAGTTTATTGTATCAAATTTTAATTATTTATTGTATCGAATACTTTTCTTTTATAATCTATTGTATCAATTTTTTTTGGAATTGGTGTGATGATTTTGATGTTTTTTGTTGTTTATAGTAAACTAAATAGTATGTTAAGCGCTGTTTTTTAAAATATTGGAGAAATTTCATCAGTTCCAGGTGATTGGATTTGCCTAATGAATCTAAATAATTTGGCATAAGATAGTGAAAAGATAAAATTAAGTTGTTTTTTTTTTATCTGTTGGTAGTAATAAATCTGTTATTGATGCATTTCCTTGATTTGCTATGTACTTCATAAAATTATTAATTTGATGTTTGTTTATGTTTGTTGTTAAGTTTATTTTTTAATGAAAAGTTGGAACTGATTGCTTTTTGCATTTTTTCGAGTCTTTGTTCATAATTTTCTATGGTTTCTACGATTTCTATTGTTGCATTTTCTCCTTCACTAGTTTTTAGTTTCAGCTTTAAAATCTGCAAAGTGAGTTTCAAATAATTGTAAAAGTTTCCAAATGGCAGCTTTGTATTTTTGAAACGCAATACTGGTAATCTTACTTTCAATATAATAATTTTCAAGTGTTGAAAATAGATGAAGATTTTTCTGTGATAAATAATTTTAACTTGGCCTTAAAAGGATTGATTTGGTTAAATCTTGGAAATGAAATGTTTTCACCTTGCAAGTTTGTGTTCAAGATATTTATGTAATTTGTTATATCCACTAAATGGTTACATAACCATTTTTCGTTTTTAAGTCACATTCTAATGGTAGTTAGTTTTTTGCTTCCAAAAATTTTTAATTCAAAAACCCGGTCAACATTTTGCTATTTGATAACCATCAAACAGAACAATGTAATAAGAGTTCTCTGTGTTCATTTGTTTCGTTTTCAAAAAATGCAAGAAATTATTGTGTATGAAGTGCTCTTACTTTTATTTTGTTAATGCATATAATATCCGTTTTAATGATATGGCCAAATTTTTGAGTACAGCACTTCTTGGTGAATAATGCAATGGTATTTAAAAAATTTTTTTTGTAAATTTTTTTCATAAAGAGAAACACATTGACTGTGCTTCTCAACCATTGCAGGTGCGCTATCAGTGCAAATACTATCCACTTTATCTCAATTCAGATTGTGACCACTAGTGTTTTGATTTTTAATGTGAATTGAGAGCAGATCCTTAATGATACTTAAGGTTGAATTCATTGTGCAATGTTTCAAAAGAACTTTTTTCATTACAACAAAACATCACAACAAATCACACAAAAAAAGCTTCAAAATAGACATTGACAATTAAGATTGGATAAACAAAAATTTTTCCACTCATCATTAAAAAAGCATCTTAGTTCTTTTTTATTTTTTATTTTTTTTTTGATGATGAAATTCCTTCACTCGTTGCTAATTTATTGTGAAATCAGTAAAAAAATTTTGTAATGGCAAAAAAATATTTTATCCAGCTAATACTGTAACTTAATTTAAAATCCTAAATAGTTAATAGTAACTAATAATTTATTTAAATAATAATAATAATTAATTTAATTAATAGTAACTAATAATTAATTTAAATAATAATAATAATTAATTTAATTAATAGTAACTAATAAATAATTTAAATAATAATAATAATTAATTTAATTAATAGTAACTAATAATTAATTTAAAATCATAAAGATTGTGATATCGAAAGTTAAGTTGCATTTACATAAACAACAAAAGTATTAATGCAACTTTTCAAATTTCTTCTTTAAAAATTCGAAAAATAATAACGCTATGAAAACTCTTTTCTTTAAAAATATTCACAAAACAAAAGAACTTTTTATTTACTTTCTTTAAAATACAATAAAAGTTAACTTTTCACTTTTTTTTATTAATAATTTAGAAATCTGGCTATTGGTATCGGAATACAAAATTTTCCAGAAGGAATGGCTGTTAGTGTTCCGCTATGTGCTGCTGGTTATTCACCTTTTAAAAGTTTTCTGTGAGTATCTATTAATTGTTATGTTTTAGTTTTTCCTCTGTATGTACTCTATTAATTTGGAATAATGTGAAAATTTAAATTTTTTTCAATATTCTTGACAAGTTGTTCAAAGTAAAGTTTCTTCATACTTTTGCAGAATTGTTGACCAGAGTTTGTTTGTTTTTTTAATTAAGCAAACTTCAAACTTATGGATTTGCACATTTCTAAATAATAAAACATATAAGGTTTATATATTCTTATATATTAAATTAAAAAATTTTTTTTAGTAAATTTATCTTGTTTTTATTTTATTATTAAACTTAATTATTTTTCAGTTATGGTCAGTTAAGTGGAATGGTTGAGCCTATATTTGGTGTTTTGGGAGCTGTAGCAGTTGTGGTATGCTTAAATATTTTATTTGTTGTTAAAAAGGCAGATTAGCAGTTGCAATATGTTTTTTACAGTTAGCATTATGTTTGGTGTTGAGAAGCTTTAGCAGTAGCAATATGTTTTTTTGCAGTTTAACATTATATTTAGTGTTTTGGAACAAAAACAGTTATGATTTGTCACAAGTGTTTTTGGAAAAAAAACAATTATGATTTGTTTTGTTACTGTTTGGTATTATTCATTTATTTATCTAATGTTAATGATGTTAATGTATAAAAAAATTATCTTTAAGATAGCGAATCCACTTCTACCATATGCTTTAGCATTTGCTGCCGGAGCAATGATTTATGTTGTGGTCAATGACATTATTCCTGAAGCAAATATATGGTGAGTATTTTCTATTTGTACCTATTGTTACCTTATAATACTAATGCTGACCGAGGGTTGATATATATATATATATATATATATATATATATATATATATATATATATATATATATATATATTTATTTATTTATTTATTTATTTATTTATATATACAACCCTCGGATTTAGGGTCGGCATAACTAACCTAACTGCTGGTCTAAAAGTGTTTGCCAATCTAAAAGTATTGTGTATATATATATATATATATATATATATATATATATATATATATATACATACATATATATATATATATATATATATATATATATATATATATATATATATATATATATATATATATAATCATCATAAAATATAGAATCAATGTTGGTTACATACAAATATTTTATAGTCAATATGAAGTATTTTTCTGTTTAGTTTCACTTTTTTATTTATTTATTATATATAAAATTACTCTGTATTTTTACTTACTCTAATGTTATGTAACTGGTTGTTTTAAATGTTGTGTAACTAGTTATAAAGGAAGCAAAAAAAACAAACATAAAGTAAAGCATTTTTGAAACAAAAAATAAACTTCAAGAAAGAGAACAAAGAATGAAATACAATTCCAAGAGAAATTTCTGAGTCTCAATACATTTATTTTTGAAAGTCATCAGCTATCTGAATATAAAATTTATGTTATGAAACTTATTAAGGTTATGAAACTAAAGACAATATGTGTCAATGAGTGATTTATTGCTATGTATTTTTCCATTTTGTCATGTCATTAATTTGTAAGATAATCTTATAGATAGACTAGTTGTTAAACATTTTTTAATAACTACGATTTTATAATATATATATTTTATAATTTATATATATTTTATAATTTATAATAACTCGATCAACAAAAAAGTTTCAAAACTTAATCTCTTACCTAAATTTTTATTCAAACCCTCCCTAATTTCTATTAATTTATATTGTAAATAAATATGTAAAATGTATTTAAAAATTTTTTTTTTTTGGTTAAAAGAAATATAATAACTTTTATAGTCAATAGAAATTAGTATTTTTAATAATTATTTAGAGTTATTTGATTTGTTATAAAAGAAACAACCCAAAAGTTAAAAATCTTCTCAAAAGTTACTTTGATATATAACTACACAAAATTTAACAACGAGATTGTTAAATTTTGTGCAGTTGTATATCAAAGTTATTTTAAAATTTTTTTTTTGAAACAAAAGTAGCAGTGATATGTGCTAAGTACCATTTTAAATAAAATATTTTTATTTTAATATTCAAGAAATAAACAGATAATTTTTTTTTAGTGGAAATGGCCGAGTTGCTTCGTGGGGTTGTATGCTTGGATTTGTTGTTATGATGTGCCTCGATGTTGGTCTTGGTTAATAAATGATTGTATGACCATAACAATATCATACCCAAACTGGTTTTAATGTATTGTATCTAATCTGGTTTTTCCGCGTGGTCATTTTCATTTGTTAGTTCATACACTTATAAATTATAACTTATTAAAATAGGAGCTGTGAACTTTCAGCAACAAAAAATAGGAAATTTTTATAGTTTTATAGAAATTTTATTGTTTGTAGATATTTATAGAATCATCTTGTTCTCCTAAATTATGTGAATTTCAAATCATCATGAATGGAAATTTTTATACAATTATTTATTCTCCTAATAATTAAATTTGTTTATTAGAAAAAAATAATAATTTGACAATTTTTCATAGTCTTTTTTTTTAATTATATTTTTTAATAAAAACTGTAATGAATAAAACACTAAGGTTTCTCTCTAGTGCATCAATCATTTTTAAATGACGATTAATAAACTATATTAAATCAAAACACAGATTTTAATAATTTCTATTATAAAATTACATTGTCTATTTATTTTTTTACTGAAGACTTTTTTTTCATTCAAAATGTTTAATGTCTAATTTAATCAAATCTTTAATCATTTTAATTATAAACCACGCAATCACTAGAATCTTTTATAAATTATATCAATGTTTTTTTCTAGGTTTTAGTCTTTACAATGAGTTACGGTATTTAACAATGCGAATTATTATGTAGCATTGTTATTGTTATGTCGCAATATTATTATTAAACAGTGTCCAGGCTACAAGAAATAAGAGAAAGAAATTTAATTAAGTTCCCTTGTAGGAAGCAATATTAGTACAATATTTATCTCAATGTTGGCTTAATGTTGTTAACAATATTGTACCAATATAAAACGTTCATATTTTGACATGTATATAGCAAATAATGGTTTACAATATTGGCTATATGTAAACTACAATATAATGCCAACATTTTATGAAACAAAACATTATAATTTACAAAAAAAAAATCTCCCGCGCAAAACATTATAATTTACAAAAAAAACAGTGTTATTACGTATATATATACGTTTTTTTAATGGCTAACGCCTACACCTTATAAAAACTTTTTTTAATTTTAAAACATGCTTAATTCAGAGAAAAATCTGTTTAAACAGAGATTTTATTTGTGTCACCTATTATGAGCCACTTATATTACCTTAATTGATATATCTAAAAATGATTATATATTGAAAAGTACTATCCAGACAGGCGATTAAAGACTAATAATGAACTTACAGTATTGGACAAAACATTTGCTACCAACATCGCACAATGCTAAAAAGTGTTCTTTATTTTACATGTCTTAAAAACGAAACGAACTATACTACCACCGCATACAGTTCAGGAGTCTGAAGTCATAGCATGCCATGACATAAGCGATCAGCTGACAAGTGACAGCGCACAGGCAGAATTTCGTTGACAAGTGCCATTTTGCAGCGGACAAAATAAGTGCAACTTTTTTGGTTTGTTTCATTTTCTTGAGTCTGGTCCGTGTCAACGTCACGGAAGTTTTTTAATAATCAAAGGAAGTATCCAGAAGTTTCCAGAAGCTTCCAGATGTTTCCAGAAGAAGCATCCAGAAGTATCTAGAAACATTCAGAAGCATCCAGAAGCTTCCAGAAGCATCTAGAATCTTCCAGAACAGGTTCACACAGGTTATGAGACATGTAAACCGACATGTAATTCAGTCAGTATATGGAATTCAATTAGTCAGTATTGTCAAGACAGTTTATCAAAGTGAGTTTTATCAAAGTGTTTTATCGAAGAACATCAATACAAGAAGTGAAATACAACAAGTGTTTCATTACATCAATACAGTCCACATCCAACCAAGGCGTTGTGTTCCACAGAGCAATATTGCATCATCACAAAGTAAATGTAACACGGTAAGCCTTTGCGAAGCGTGATTATTTATTTTTATTATTTTTATGACTTCAAGTGCAAAAATGGCTCCCAATAGTCTTGGATTGGAACTAAGAAAGAAAATTATTGGCGATTACGTAAGTGGAATGTCACAAAAAAGTATTTGTGATAAATATCGCGTGAAAAAATGGACCGTATCAAGACTATGCTTCAAATATCGTTCAACGGGGATGTTGGCAGCAGATAACAAAGGTGGAAGACCGTGTTTCACCACTTCTAGAGAGGATTCTATGATCGTCAGATCCGTCAAGAAGGATCCCTGGATATCATCAGTTGAGATTTAAAAGCAATTAGAGCTGCCTGTATCGGACCGAACAATCAGACGGTGTGCTGTTGAAGGATTGTTATCTCGACACCCTGCAAAAAAATGCTGATTTTACTAAAGAACCAGAAGAAAAGACTCCTGTTTGCTACATCTCATATTGACTGGAATGTGCAGATATGGCGAACTGTCCTGTTCAGTGATGAATTGAAGTTCAACATCATTGGGAGCGATGGCATTTGCCGTGCACGTTGACTGGCCGGAAAACGCCTTGATTTACGTTACTGCCATAAGACCGTGAAGCATGGTGGAGGCAATGTAATGGTCTGGGGGTGTTTTTCTGCTAACGGTCTAGGTCCAATACATCGAATCGATGGAATAATGGACCGTTTCATGTACAAAAATATCCTGAAAGATGTTATGCTACCTCATGCTGAATGGAATATGCCAATAAAATAGATTTTTCAGCAAGACAACGATCCGAAACACATTGCAAAAGTAGTCAAGCAGTGGTTTCAAGACAACCACCTATCGGTGATGGATTGGCCGCCTCAATCTCCCGATCTCAACCCTATCGAGAACTTGTGGGAGATTGTCAACCGCAGAATTAATCGTGAAGGTGTTCGTAATAAGGATCAACAGTATGAACAAATTCAAAAGGCTTGGGTAGCGATTTTACAAAGTTTCATTGATCACCTGATCGAAGCTATGCCTCGAAGATGCAAGGCTGTGATCGACAAGAAAGAATTCCGCACGAAATATTGATAGCGAAATACAGCTTAGTCAACATTTTGTGAAGTTGCACTTGTTTTGTCCAGAAGGAAATCATATTTTTTTTAATACTTTTGATTAATTTATTAATTTTCGTGTACAAATAATGAACTTTGTGATGAATAAAACTTGGAGAACATTGTCTCTAAACAGTTACATAGTTGTTTCTCTAAATTGAAAAAATGCAGCACTTTTATATAAAGAAACTAAATTAGCATTATTTGGTTGCACTTGTTTTGTCCGATACTGTAGATCTACTTCATAGTACTATAAACCAAAATAATTTTTTTAAAGTAAAATATTCTATACTTTGCTTAAAAATATTATTTTAGTTAATAATAAACAAAAAAACTTAAACAGTATTTATTTTTTATTAGAAAAACTTAAACAGTATTTATTTGTTATTTAAGACAGTCGAACAGTAGAAAACTTTATAATTACTTCTATGTAAAATCAAGCATAGAATAAATTTTAAATAAAAAATAGCTTTAGCATATGGCTGTTATAAGATTTCAACTTGCATATAATAATGCAATTTTCAATATATGGACAATAAACTTTACAATAAAATATTGAGAAGTTTTGATAATGAACTATTGACAATCTATTTAAATGAGCTCAATAATATTATTATCGATAAATAGAGTTGTATTCTCTTGTGCTTCAGTACAATTTTTTTGATTATCTGAAGATATCTGAAGACTTTCAATATCTTTGGAATTAAACTGACTTTTCTCATTTTAACTGAGTTAGCTTTTTTAGATAATTTTTGAATGTCTTTCTGTTGTGCTTTATTTTCTTTTTCTTTTTGCTTTTTCAATTTTTCCTCTTCAGCTGCAGCGAATTTCTCTTCTTTTTTTTTTTACTTCATTGTTTAATTTAGATTGTATTGCTTCTTGAGAAGTTAATACAAAATATTTTTGAACCTTTTTTCAATTTTCTTTTGTCTTGGTAGCATATATCTTTGGATAAGGCAAAATATCATTGTCAATATCATTAGTTGAATGTTTTGTACACGAAATGATTAGTGTTAGACTAGGCTGAGCAGTGGTTTCAATTGGCATCTGATTACAATGATCAGTGGTTTCATTGGAAAAAAAATAAAACTGTCCAGTTGTTTCATAGCGAACAGGAATTGGCTAAACATTGGTTTCATTTAAAACTGGAATAGGAACTATGAATTCATTTGGCATTGGCATTTGGCAGAGTTATTTGTTTCTAAAATGGCATTTGTACATGAAACCTGTTTCAGTTTGAATTCTTTATATAATTTTATACAAAGGATCTGAAATGTCGTAGCCATTTTGAATACAGAAGTTGAAAGTTGTTAACTGCTCATGAGTTAAATGGGTATCCCATATCAAAGAAGTATTATTATTGGTTTACCAAGTTATTATCTATTTTACATTCAGACATGCTTTTAGGTTTATTTGTGCCCAATTCTACTTTGCACCAATTATTTATCTTATGAGCTATCATTTGAGGAGTTTCAAGTGTCGTTTAAATCTATTTAAAAAAAACAAAGCCCCTGGAGCTGATGAAATAAATGGAAACATAGTCTTAGAATGCTTTGAACAATTAAAAGATATTCTCTTTAAAGTTTTCAGAGCATCAATGCAACAAGGAGTTTTTCCTGATAAGTTAAAAATAGCTAAGATAATCCCAATATACAAAAAAGGAGACAGAACTAATGTATGTAACTACCGACCTATTTCTATTTTATCAACATTTTCAAAAATCTTAGAAAAAATTATTTACAATAGATTATATACTTATTTTAAGGAGAAGAATTTTTTTTATAAAAATCAGTTTGGATTAAAAAAAAAATAGTTCTGCTGAGAATGCAATCATTCTAATTTGTCCGTGAAATCTCTAACTCTTTCAAAAATTCACAATTCACTTTATGTATTTTTTTGGGTTTATCAAACGCATTTGATACAGTAAATCATAGCATTTTGATTTATAAACTTGAATATTATGAAGTGGATGGTGTAATTTTGAAATGGTTTAAAAGTTATTTAACAAACCAAAAATAAAATTTCTTTTAACGATCCTTATCAAAAAAATATTTTAGATATTTTATATGGTGTTCCGCAACGATCAATTTTGGTGATTTGCATTAAGCTTCTAATCTTTTATGTTTGCGGGTGACTTATTTATTTTTATCTGATAACAATATCAATAAACTCTTCACTACTATTAATGAAGAACTCAAAATAATTTCTAGCTGGTTCAAATATAATAAACTTACCCTAAATATTAAAAAACCAAAATAGATTCTTTTTCATTCGATAACTAAAAAACGTTATTTACCCTCAACTCTACCTGATATTTTTATTGACCAAATTGAAATAAAAAGAGATTGCATCACAACTTTTTTAG